AGAATCACACTCCTATAGTGCCCTGAAAAGTTGAATGTGTTACTAGTAAATTAAACATATGAGTTCAATATATTAAACTCATGAGCGTGATGATATCACATTAGTGTTGCAGCAGTACTACTACATATGATCTAGTGATATTGTTTCCATTTGTAAGTAGGAGGTCTTAAATTCAACTCTTGTGGATGGCAAGTTTGACACCAGATTATGATTGGCTTATTGTGCAGCGACTTCTCTCACGTTGTATTAAGAAACAAATAGGTAAAACCTGAATAAGGGTGGGTTGATTGGTTATTAAACGTCGTCTTAATTAAAAGAAAAATCGAGACCTAAACAAAAAGTAAATTTCTTTGACAAAAAAAAAAAAGTAAATTTTAAGAAGCCGGGAAAATTCCCACCAACGAAATCAAGTTTGTCGACTAAGAACTTCTCTACCTTCAAAATATTTCGTAGGCAATAACCTAAGTTGTTGGGAAAAAAATGTGCGCCAAAAGCCGCAATATGCGTGTTTACTTGCAAAAATTTCGACAGGCGAAAGCTCTTGTGCCAACAAAATTTTACTTTATTGGCATAGAATTTGTCAGCAAAATGATATTTAATCCAGGTTGGGAAGGGAAAGTCAGCATTAAATACTTGACTTGCTGGGCTTAAATTGCATTTAATGCAAGAATCTAGTTTTATCCTAACTAAGGGAGTTGGCTTGTTAGAGAAAGGGGTAAACTAGGCTAATTCTGTCTCATTGATGCCTGCATGAAATACAAAGGGTATGAGCTTGGATCTTTGGGCACCAAGCAGCCCAAAGTCTTCCATGATCCCGATTCCACATAGGCCCGATAACCTTCTGTAACCATCCACACCACAATTCACTTGACAAACCCCGATGTGAATTGGGCTTAGCATGAATAGTGACTAAGGAAGCATGGTGTGATGAATAGGTATGAGCATGACGTGAATATCCAGCTAAATCACTGTGGCATGGCATGTTTGTAAATATATTCCTCGTCGCTCCCGTGCCTTGGAATGTATTTGGGCTTGAATGTAGGCTTTGCATGACAATTGGGCCTTAAGACTTAGTTGGATTGGTGTGTGATATTTTTGGGCCCCAACAACACCAAATTATGATTGGCTCATTGTGCACCGAATTCTCTCACGTTGTATTAAGAAAGAAAAAAGAAGGTAAAACTGAATAAGGGTTGATTGGTTATCAAACGTTATTTTAATTAGAAGAAAAATCGAGACCTAAACAAAAAGTAAATTTCTTTTACAGAAAAAATAAACAAAATGTAAATTTTAAGAAGCCAGAAAAATTCCCACCAACGAAATCAAGTTTGTCGACTAAGAACTTCTCTACCTTCAAAAGATTTCGTAGGCAATAACCTAAGTTGTTGGGAAAAATGTGCGCCGAAATCTTAGCTGTAGTATGTGTGTTTACTCGACAAAGCAAAAATTTCGTTAGGTGAAAGCTCTTATGCCGACAAAATTTTACTTTATCGGCTTAGAATTTGTCAGGAAAATGATATTTTTTAGTATTGAAAGTATACTTTAACGCATTGTTTACCATAAGTGATGGGTTTATAGTTTTGATTTATTGGTAATTCACTTACTATTAGCCTATCATGCACACTCAAAGCTAAAATATATATAAACCTCCCCTCCATATTCTCTTGTACAAAGAAACTGAAACCAAAAAAAAAAAAAAAAACATCCATCAATGTTAGTTGATTTCTCTTGATCCCATTTAGTAGTAGTTTCTCAATAAAAAAACATGAAGTGTATGGTTTTATGTAAATGAAAAACATGAACTGGATCGTTTTATGTAAATGAAGTTAATACAAAACTCTTAAGGATTTTAGTTTACTTTTTTATATTCTTGGCAAAAAGAAAATAACTTTAAAGTTCAAAGCTTCTAGCGCAACCAGTGCATAAAGTATTTAACACTATATCATTGCGAGTAAAACACAAAAACTTTCACTTATCATAAAGCACATTCAACATTATATCTAATGCAATCATTACATAAACGGTGTGTTTGTTGCACCGGATTATCTCGGACTGGACTAGTTTCCGGGACTAAATTGGACTGACTTGGCTTGGACTAAACTGGATAAAGATAGTGAAGTATTTGGTGTAGTGCCGGACTAAACTATAGACTAAATTATTTTTAGGATTCAAATTATTTTTTTTATCATTTTTAATTTACTTTTTCCTTGAAAAACAATAAACAAACAAATTTTATATTATGAAATATAATTTAGTAGTTATTTAATTTTTATAAGCCTAATTAATGCTTCACCTAAAAGTTTGTCAATTACTTTTTAGACGATGAGAACCCAGATAATTTGCAAAGCTCTCTCTCTCTGCCTCTTCGTAATCTTCCTCTTGCCCTCTTTGCTTCCTAATAAATCCATTGCAATTCTTAAAATCAAACCAAAGAGCAAGAAAGAGAATGAAAATTTAGGAGTCAAGGTGGGGTGCATGTGATTGGCTCGAAGGTGGGAGATGGGGGTTGAATCTGGTTTCGATTTTTGGGTTTTCTCAGTTTGTAGCTTTTTTGGGTTTTCTGGGTTTCTGACTTTTTTGGATTTTCTGGGTTCAAATTTTGGGAGTTGAATCTGGTTTTGAAAAGGAATAGGCTGCAAAATTCCACGAAATGGGTTTACAAAACTCCACGGAATGGCTTTCACAAATAATGAGTTTCTGAGAGAAAATGAGTTTTCTGGGAAGAAAAAAAAATAGGAGTCAACATATACAAAGTGGAGAACTTGCAAATGGGTGAACAGGGGAGGGGCAAAGCAGAGGTGATCTTAGCAATCCGCCCAATTTTCGAGGCGGCACCGGGGGGGGGGGGAGGCAGCCTCGCTAAGACAGCCTAGTGAGGCGCTTAGTCTAGGCAAGTCCCATTTAGTCTCATTAAACCTATTCCTCCCTGTAAACAAACATGGGATTTCACTGACTAGTAATCCTAGCCAGTCCAGTGAAACTTAAGGAGGCCAAACAAACACGCCAGTATTCAACTTGAGTTATACTTGAGTAAATCAAACCCTACACTTATCACAAAAATAAAAATTAAATGTGTCCTAAAAGACGAATTATCATGAGAAAAGTGTAATTCAAAGGAAGGTCAGAAAATTTCTCATCCAATGCAACCAAATGTGATTGTGTGTTTAGGGGACCTGAAAGAATCTCTTAGTATTACAATCTTTAATTTGATATGATTGGGGGTGGTTTGTTTTGTTTAGGGGACCTAAGAGAATCTCTTAGCATTAAAATCTTTAATTTGATTTGATACGTTTCCTTCAATTCAAAGTAAAAGTTTTCCTAGAGTAAAAAATAATGCTTGGTAGGTTAAATTATCGAATTTGTCATTCATAAGAAATAGAGTGGTATTAACTTATAATTACCACTAGAGATATTTAAAAAATTTGAAATCAATAATTGCTACAAAGAATAAGAATAGTCAAGAAAAAGTAACATTTGTTTTTCTCTTTTTTTTTTATTTAAGAAAATTGGATTATTTGTTCTCGAATGATTACTTAACTTAGATTTGGTCAATTAACCAAAAATTCATCAAATTGAAATTTGATTTCGACAAAATGTGAAGCATCAATCTATCTATTACAACGTTGTGTATTATTTAAGAAAACGAGAGTCGTATTCTCAGTAGTTAAATAACCTTTTGAACCTTCTAAAGGTCATTGATTTTAAATTTTTTATCAAATAATGGTATTGCTAAACTGAGTAAAACAATATTTAAAAAAAAAAATAAATTAATAATACCAAACAGGATGAAACTCATTTTTTGAAGAAACTCACTCACAAATATTATGGTCTGTTTTTTTTTTTTTTTTTTTTTTTTTTGTTTTGGAAACCAGTATTTTGGTCTGTTTGGTAAACAACAAATATAGAAGTAGTCATTTTAAATTTGGAAAAATTAGTATCCGGTCCCTAGTTCTTACTGTTCATTGACTAAGACCTTATTAGTTCTCAAATTTTGATTCAAGTCCCTAGCATTAATGTGATAATGAATTTACATGTTTATTATATAATTTTTTAATATAAAAATTAGTAATTAATTTAGGGTTTAATACTCACACCTCTATTAAACTTCTAATTAATTTTCAATTCAAACATTTCCAAAATAATAATAAATTAAATTAAATTAAGTTTGTACCTATTAGTTTTTTTTTATATATAAAAAGATTCTCAATTTTTTAATCTTAAATGTACCCATTCATATAATTTTTCAATTTTTTTAATCTTAAATGTACCCATTCTCAAATATATCAATTTGTTATATTTAATATGTACCCTTTTTTTTAATATAAAATCCTTTCAAATTTTTTAATCCATGTTTAAACTTATATGGGTACATTCTTTTCGTTGATTTGAGAATGTATCCATATTTTGGTACAATAACGTTTTTTGTTAATTTTGGTTAATGTACCCATACATATATGTACACACACACACACAATACAATAGAGAGTATAATTTATATTTTATTATTTTTAATCCCATAAATTATGGGTTTTATTTAAAATCTCATTAATATAAACAATTACAATTTTCAATTTTTAATTTTTAATTTAAAAAATATAATAACTTACATTATTACATTAATGTCAGGGACCTCAATAAAAAACTAAAATCTAACAAGGTTTCAATAAAAAAATATTGATAGTTAAGGACCGCATCCAAAGTGTTCCTTTTAAATTTCGTTTCTGTGTGGACACAAATGAAAAAGTTTCAAAAGAATCTAACAACATAATTCATTAACCAAAACATGGAGGGGGCAATTGACAAAAAAATAAAAATAAATAAAGAATAAGAAAAGTGACAACCACCAATTATTACGTACTGTCGAACTCCGGAGTCAATTATTTCTGTACTGTTTGCCCAAAAAAAACAAAGGAAAATTATTTTTCTGTATTATTTTGCAAAATTAATAAAAAATTAAATTTATTAATGGTAGAGCAAAGTGTTTATATTTGCCCTTTCCTGTGAAACCAGAGGCGTTAGAGAAGACCAGAGAGAAGAGACCTGAAAGGTGATCTTCCTCTGCATCTTTCTCTCGCCCTCTCTTTCTCTCTCTAGAAACACTTAAGTTTTTAGATTTGAGAGAGAGAGAGAGAGAGAGAGGAAGTACTTCTCGCCAAAGCTGCACTGAATTTGGCCAAAAAAAAAAAAAATCCTTTTCCTACTTGCTACATAATCCATTGCTTCTACTTCACTCCCTCCAAGTTTTGCAGATAACCCTCTCTCTCTCTCTCTCTCTCTGTTAAGATCTCCAATCTTTCCTGGTTTCCTAAAGAGTCGAGAAAAACCCTTTTCTCTGCACTCGGTCTTCCTCTGCTTTGACAATCCACCTTTAATTCAGCTCAAAAAATCACAAATCATTCAATTTAGCAAAAATAAGGGAATCTGAACAGAACCCAGTTGCAGATTTTCCCGGAAGATGGAGAACATTTCCGGGAAAAGCGACCCACAATCAGTCTCTCACTTTTTACTACTTTTTCCGAGTCAATTTCCTCTGACAAGTCCCCAAATGCAATCAAATCCCCCCGAAATTTCCAAGAGGGGGTTGTTGGGCTTGGAATAGTGGCTGCCATGACTGATTTGGGCAACCCCAATGAAGTGGCTTTGTCTGACAAGTCGCCTAGGTCGAGCCCGATCCCCATAGTCTCTGCAGCTAAGCCCGCAGCTAATTTCAGAGGTGGGTTTTGTGTGGAGAGGGCAGGGGCTGTGGTGGATGAATTGTCCGAGAGCTATACATGTGTGATTACGCATTTCGGAAACAATTTGACATCGAAAAGGGTTTATTTCGATGATGAGCTGAGTGGGGGTTGTGGATGATCCTAATGCTGGTGTGGTGGTGGCCTCTGGGGTGTTCTATGTTTCTCCACTGAGTGTTGGTGAAGTGGGAAGAGAGTTTTGGGCCTCGGATTTTCTCAGTTGGTGTTATCTTTGCAAGAAGCAGCTTCATGGACTGGACATTTTCATGTACAGGTAAAAGAAAAACAAAAGTCATACATACATACACACATATATACTTACATACATATGTATTTAAGTTCTCTTGATGTATTGTTATGAATTAAATCCCTTTTGATTATTAATTTCGGTGAAGCATGATTTAGGAAATTGTGGATTTTGAACCATGTTGATGGTTTTGATTACGGGCTAATGTTTGGCATATTGATTATGTTGTCTTAGTGGGAGATTGTGTTTTGAAGGGATTTGAACTTAGGCTGATGTTTGTTTTATTAGCATTTATGAATTGACCAATTCTTGGAGATGTATGAGGCATCGGTTTTGTTCAAGTTTAGAAGTAGATTTTAAGTTCAAGAATGATACCGTAGATGCTGAACAAACTGGCCAATCCTTTACATAATTTTTGGTCTATGGTAAGCTGTTGGTCTAGGCAGGAGGATGTTACTCATGGATCTGCATCAGCAGCTTTAGCATTTCTCCCCATATTAGTAATCATTTCTTTTGAGTAGAGGGTTACCTTTCGTGGCATGATTTTGAGGTTTAACTGTTTTAAGTTATGGTTTGTCATTGAATGACTTTATTCCCCGTATTAGGTCATCTCCTTTGGTCCTTTACGTTGTGTGCTTGATTTCATGCAGAAGATGTTCAAATATTGTTTTCCCTTTGAGAATAATTTTAGGTTTTAAGTATTATTTCAGAATGTTACTGGAAATCCTTATGTGATTGTTGTGTTCTCTCTATTGTCCTCGATGAAATGTTCAGCTTGATTAAGTTGATATTCCACTTCTGGCGTTGTCGTTGCGCCAACTTGCTAATAGTACTCTCAGTAAGCTTTTGAAGAGTACGATACAAGTATGCCAGGCAAACTAATTAAGTCGGTCATTCTCTGTTGGACTTAAGTACTCTAGCATCAATAAGTAGCTTGTGGATTGGTTTTTGCTCTCAAGTCCTTAACTTAGGTTCTCATTTGATTGTATTGAAACCGATTCTTATTTCAGAAAATTAAGCAAAATCATTAGTGACAATGTCTTAATCTTGTGAATATATCAGTATAATTATTTATGCCAGGCTGTACACCAATCATTAGTCTGTTAATGTGATGTCATTAGACTGTTGCATGCTTAAGAAGTAATGCCATGTTTGTTTTCTCTTGAGACTCATTGGAACATGCATCTTTAGAAACTTAGGAAGGAATGCCAGCTCCAAGCTGTTTCCTTAATGAACACTTGCAAGTTACATCTTTGATTGCAGTCATTTGGTTTTATAGTATTAAAGATTCCGTCGAGTTAATATGTGCGTATATATTAATTATTATAACTTTCTTACTAGTATTCCTATAAGAAAGTGGTCAGTTCCTTTGGAGAAAAAAAATAAAAATAAAAAAATAAAAAAAATTGCTCACTGCTTTTACCATGGTGTAGCATCACCACTCTACTTAATGGATCCACCTGTTATACAAGTACCGTTCCCGTAGACCCCATGGTCCAAGAAAATTGAGGTAACCCACCGTTTGATCTTATTCCAACAGCGTAGGAGAAATTACAACAACAAAAGCTAAATGACCACCTACTGTTGGATTAAGATCAAACATTGGGTGACCACAACTTCCTTGGACCATGTGGTCTTGGAGAACGGGTCTGCCTATTATACATAGTGTATGGTTAAGTTTTTTGTAATAAATAAAACCGTGCTAGTTACACGTAGATAGCATTGAGTAGGGTGGTAAAGTTGTACATTAATTGAAGGTAGTGAGCAAAGTTGTTCTCTTCTTAATCTTCTGAGCAAAAGTTGGAGAATTAGTGGCTTTTCAGATGTGTAGAATTTATAATTTGGAGAATCGTACTAACAATTAATAATTCTACTGCTTTCTCTTACGTGCTTAAATTCTTCTTTTTCCTGCACAAACGCTGTGAGAAATTGCCTTAGATGGTGTAATATTTTACGATATCTTTTGAAATTGGATGAGCCTCTTTTGGAAATTTAGTTCACCGTCCATAGAAAGCTCATCTTTGAATTATGTGTGAAATTTCTCAAAGTTTTAGAATCCTGAAAGTTAGCTTTCCGAAAGGACATACGCATTATGTTAAGAGAGAGAACACTATTGGAGAAATATTCCAAACTCCATGCTGGTGAGATATTTTGATGCAATTATTGATCGAGAAAATTCCAGCTGGTTTTGTTTTTGTTTCAATTTCTGAGTATTTAGATCTCTTAATTGAGATATTTTACGATAGATAGCGAAAGAACTTTATTTCGGAATTGTGGTCCTTGTTTGCTACTGCATTTGGTGTTGACATTTTTTTTTCTTTTTCGAATGGTAGGGCTATGAACTAGTCAATTTGAAAATGGGGGATGGGTCTTTGCAATATACTTGGCATCTTCTATATCATTTGATGCAACTTAGATTCTTTCTTCACTAACAAAGGCATTCAATTCCCCTTTTCTGCAGGGGTGAGAAAGCATTTTGCAGCGCCGAGTGCCGTGACAAGCACATTCGAAGCGATGATCATAAAGAGAAGTGCAGATCGGAAGCATTGAAATCGCTTGAGTACTCGGTGTCTCCCTGCTCCAGTCCGCTCGTCTTCTTATCCGGGGTTGCTGTGGCATGAAAGTATTGGTGTACCTATATAGTAAATAATACAAGAAAGGATGGGAAACATGATCCGAATAAATTGGGACAAGGTTCAATCAGGCAGTCTCTACAGTCTACAATTCAATTTGCAAGAATTTTTTTTTAATTAGATTGGACAAGTTGTATTGAGAAATTGGGAAATCATATAATCTGAGGGGGAGATTTTTACCAACTTTGCAGATGGGGGATAATTTGGGTGGGAATTGGAGTCATGTCTGTCATGCATTGAGTCAGTTATAATAATTATGTCTCGAACTCGCTATCCTTGAAACGTGTTATTTAGAAATGAAGAAGATCGTCATTAGACCGCAGTGTTAATTAAGTATTGTTTTAATCATATGGATTTTGTATCATTTTTGTTTTAAAAGTCTTTTCAAAATTGCGTTGCATTGAAATAATATATCTAAACAAATGTGAAAGTCAACTTTTAACGGCTAAAATAAAAATACTTACAACATTAAACGATATGTAATACTGTGGCCACCCCATTTTTCGGGATGATCTGCTAGTTTCTGTGAACATGATTCGGCCTAGTCTATTTATAGGGTAATATTTAAACCAGTGAGAGTCCAGCCAATTTGCAGTCCCTTTAGAGACGTTTGTTATCTCAGACTCTACTAGTTTTTAGGACTAAGCTGAATTGGTTTAGACTAGACTAAGCTGGATAATTAACAATTATAATATTATATTATTTAATACACATTCAATAGTATTTTATTATTAATTTAATATATTTTATTCAAGCTTTTGACCCTTTTTTTATGTGTATAGAACACGCTTTCGTTCCGTCCCCTTTATTAATTCAACAATATTTTCATTTTTTATCCAACCTCTCTCTGGACTCTCTCTGGAGAGTTCTTTCTTTACTTCCTAGTTTTGTCCCCCATAACACTCATTTTCTCCATCATTTGTCCTGGAAAACCACAACCTTCAAAATAGTTTTTTTCTGTGCAAAATCGTCCTCAAAACTACTCTCTCCTCCGTCTCCATCTCTCCATTGCTCTTTGTCCCAAAGCTACTTTCTCCCCTTCTCTATCCATTTCTCTCCGAAATTTTTTGGGAAAAAGGAAAATTTTCTTGGAATTTTCGAGAATAAGGAAGAATTTTTCTATTAGGATTGTTGTTGTTATCGTTTTGCAATTTTTTTTTTCGAATTTTGGTGTTGAGATTTAGGTAGCGGTAAGGCTAGATTTTAGATATGGGAAATGGAGTTGCCCAAAAGCATGCTCATAGGCTTGCGGACTTGCAGCGTTTATAAACTTGCATCGTGCAATCATTTTTGGAGATGGGATTAGCAAACCCATGGTTTATGGGGGGTTTAGATAAGATCCGCTAGTCTCTTCTTTAGTCGATGTGTGTTCTTCATAAAACACTAATCGAACAAGTTTTTGCTAAATTTTGAACACTAAATTTGAATCATTTAACCGCGTCACTAATTTAACAAATAATGAATTGCATTGTAGTTAATGAGCAGCAATTAGTAAAACGATCACATTTAGACTTCGACGTCGGGAGCTAGTACATTGTGATGTTTTTTATGAATCAAGTTCAACTTAGCATCAGAAACCAAAGAAAATCAATAACAAAGAGGCAAGCAAAAACTTCATGGAGCTCCAAGTAAAATCTAGTCCTCAACCTGCCAAATAGTATTCAAATGCAATCACTAAATCAGTTGTTCAAAAAATAACAAAGTTAGACTAGAAGATGGATCCAAAAAACCATTTTTATGAGCACTCTCAAAGAATCAGATGACAACTGGTAACCATGTTGGAAATAATAAGATTCTCTATTAAATTTTGTTGTGAATATTGCGTTTAAGAATGAGAAAAACAGAAGAAAAAACACAGAAATTGAAAACAAAATAACCATGACAAACAACACCAAGAATTAACGTGGTTCAGCTATATGTGCCTATGTCCATGGGGCAGCAACAATAATCTTTCACTATATCAATAATGAGTACAACATATAATTCATGCCAAGCCTCTAGGATTAAGACTTGACGAAAAACCTGAAAGACAAGAACAAGAAACTAGTACACTCTTATCTCTTTTATTTTCTTTCGCAGACACTTTGCCCTTCTCTCACTTTTTGACACCTTGAGCGGTACACAACTTATTGTTTTGCTCCAATTCAAAACTAGTGCAACAACCCCTTTATATAGACTTAATAAGGGTCTTTTTCAATAACAATTACTAGTCCTAATTGGAATCGAGTTATGAATCCTTCTCCAACTGAGATACTAACTCCAATTGGGTAAACAACTTCAATTGGGTAAACAATTAAAATTGGGTAGGCAATTTAAAATACAATTTAAACTAGGAATACAACTTCAATTAGGAAAACAACTCCAATTGGGTAAACAATTTAATCCTCTAAGACTATAAATCTAATAGACTTAGGACAACTCATCATGGTTGGAAAAACCCAACAAATTTCTCGTTAATTATGGAAGCGGTAATTAAACCTATGCCCAAGTGAATCCCGTATACTTACTTCCTCTCTACTGCACTAAATTAACAGCCTTCCCACCCCCACGAGGCTGTCAGCAGGACATGGCTCATATATTAACACTGCATAGAGGAGACAACTTGAAACCACTAGGTTACTTATGACCATGCTAACCAGACATGACAGATTGTTCATCTCATATCAGTTAACACACATCCCCATTTTAAGAACTCATAAACCATGATACAAATGGAACACAACAGAAATATGACTCCAAATCACTGCATAAGTGGTCAGCTACGGGAAGTGCAATTTCATAGTCAAAACGAATTATTATATGAAATGCTTTAATTGCTGTTTCACAGATAAAGGCTTTGTTGTTGTTGATGTTTCACATATATGGTTTTAAAATAGAATGAAAACACCAATACCAATTATAACATAAAGTAAGATAGGTAGTGATATGCATGTCTACTAGGAGCTTTTATAAACATCAACTACCCTTCCAAAGTTCATGTGCGTCCAATCTCCACTATTAAGCCCATCTAAGCTCTTTTCCTGCCAGTAGTGTTGATTATTTCTCTTAGTTTAAACTTCAGATATCTACCAAGCACGGAATTATAGTCGTAACTTTTTCCATTTCTTTGATTTTACTCTCTAACTACACTCTTAATTCACATAGCACTAATATCTTCCATCCATAACTTTCCGCGAAATGCTCCTCTTAGAAATCTACTTTATGGCTCCATTAGGTTCCAATCGACTTACTCACTGACACACACACACACCCCATTATAAATAATTATATCTGCGAATGCATATTATAAAGATTTTCTGCCTAGTTTTGTTGAAAAGAATAAATAACCAAGGCCAACATCCTTTCTATGCCTGGAAAAAGGCTTAAAAAGGGTTGAGGTTCGAACCTAAAACCAATTGGCAATAGTAGTAGCCCAACTCCTTATATAACCATGCAAAAATCCCTTAACTTATCGATGTAGGACAACAGCCCACATCCTCACATGCCTAGATCATAACAATGAACAATCTACATTGGTTTTTCAGTTATTCCCATTTTGCACAGACCCAAGTAACATCACGATGTGCTGCAATTGACTCCCGAAATTCATGTCAAAAAAATGTAAACTTGCTTCTTTTAATTGCACTTATGACCAAAACCCACATAGAAAATCGTTGACATTGGTAGATTGAACATATCATAATCATTTGCGATAATTGTGAAATTGTTGAGATGGGTATTGGGTAATAATCATTTCTGAAAATAATTGGCATAAAGGGGTCGGAGGCTAATGTATAAAACTATCAGAAATTCAACCAAATCACAGATACAATTCATTAGATTAAAACAACGAAATTAAAAGTAAATAAATAAATAAATATTAATACCTGAGCGGGATGATGATTCGGGTCTGGTGACAAAGAACGCTCAAGGTTCACAATTCTACCTTCAAGAGCATCAAACTTTTGCTTCACCTACAAAATCCCCCATAGAAGAAAAAATGAAACCTTTGAAAAGGGGAGGGAGAGAGAGAGAGAGAGAACGAGAGTTGATGGGTTACGTACATCGGAGGAAAGAGCGAAACGGTCGACGAGAAGATCTTTCCAGACGAGGTGAGAAATTGCAGCTCCTGTCAGCGAAAACCCAACACCGAACCAAACCAAACGAGTTCGCATCATCTTTCTTTTTGGTTTTCCTTTTAGGGCTTTGAGAATCTCTGAAATCTTACAACCGCTATGTGTGCGCTCATCAAATGAAACGCAGCAAGAAAGATGAATCTCCGAACTCTACAATCACAATTAGGGATGGCAAATATCCATTGGTTATGGTTATCCGCGGCTACCGCCCATTTAAATTAAATGGTTATGGTTACGAGTATAACCGTTTATCCGTAAAATTTAAATGGGCGATTATGGATATTAACTACGGTTATAAACGGGTAACCGTTTACCCATTTATTTTATATATGTAAAACTAACACAAACCATGTTCTCGATCCAATAATACTTAGCACCCAATAAATTAGCAAGGAATTCATCGGTCATTTTCTCAATAACACTACTACAGGAATGATGATTCTCATCATTAAGGAATTGGCCAAATTAATTTAAATTCCTTGCGGGTAACTGTGAAATTGACAGAAATGCTTTGACAAAAATGTTTTCTAAACAATTTTTGTAACCCAATAATACTTAGCAAATATTATATTTACCTTCATTGGTAACAGTTAAAAATATCGTTCGTAAACTATTATTTTAATTATTGGAATGGTATAAGGACTTTTAAAATTAAAATATGGAAATGTATGATGAATGTACCTATAACGGTATTTAATTGTCAAAAAAAAAATTATGACAATTTTTTTTTAATTTTCAAGTTGTTAAAAAACATGTAGACGGGTGAAAAAATGGTAATGGTAAAAAAAGGAAGATAAACGGGTTAAAAAGGATAAATAGGTAAACGGGTATTAAACAGTTACGATTAAATGGGTATGCGGTTATGGGTATAGTTAACCGTTTATAAACGGTTATGGGTATGGGTATAACCGTTTAGGCAATTACCTAACGGGTAAACGGTTATGCGGGTATGAGCATAAACGGTTATGGGTAAATTAACCGCGGTTACCCGCCCGCATAACCATTGTCCATCCCTAATCACAATTCTCTTCTTGTTTTGCGCAACCAAAAACGGGGAATATATTTCGGAATATAAAAAACCGAAAAATAAAATAAAATACCGAAACCTAACCGAACTTTATTGGTTCGGTTTCAAATTTGGAGGTTCAGAAACCGAACTGAATCCAACAAAACCGATTCCTTTTACATTTTTTTTTTCTTTTCTGAAAACTATCCTTTTACACTTTATGAATATATGCCCATGATGTTTCTTTTGTGAATCTTTGTTGCCAAGCTTGAAACTAAGATTAGGGTTTTTTCAAGGAGCATACTTCATACAATTATAATGATATTCGATTGGTTATAAAAGAAAGTTTTGGAGGCTTTGGAACTTGGAAAAACTTCTCCATTTGTTTGTTTTTAGAATGGATACGGTGATCATTTTTCTTTACAATTGAGGTTGTTGATAGAATATGTTTGGTTTAGATGATCAAGTAAATGTACAACTCTATCTTTCCACTTTCCCTATTTTCTTATTATTAGTCTACCAATGCAAGCATCTTTTCTAATTTTCATATTATAGAAAGATCGAGTTTTATAAATAAAAAACTGAAACCGAATCGAACAAACCAAATCGAAAAAAATCGAAAGAAAACTAAACCGAACCGAATGAAACCGAACCCACCCCCAATCTTTCTCCTACTTACTATTCTGACTAAAACACTAAGATGCCATCTTAGACAAAATAATATCTTTTTGAGGGAAGAATTGTGATTTTGAGGATAGTAATTTTGAAGTTTTAGAATCTCTGTATAGATCGATTTATGCAACTTTTTCTCTTTGTTAGATTTCAATTATTTAGACTAGAAATATCGATTGTATTAATAAAAGCTATATAGAATGAGTTTACTGTTATTTTAAAATGTAAATCCCATAATAAATTGTGATGTACATCTTGAATTTGTTTATGACAATTTATGTTTTTTTCATTTTCATTTTTGCCACGAGCCTTGGGGCTCTCAAACGTCTGTGCATCATCAATGATGCTGCGCACAATAGCTATGCCTAAGCAAACAGACTACCCTTTTGAACCCACCCCAATTGAATTTGAACATCCTCATGATTACGATTGAAAGATCGAGTAAACCACATCCACAAACCCTAAATTGTAATCATGATAGTTGGATTTTAATCGTCAACACATGTTACCAAGAACGACTCAGCAAAACTGATTAGGCAACGGGGATCGAGCAATTGTGCTCCAAATTCTCAATCGGAAACCCTAACACTAACCCTAGTTTTCCCCTCATTTCGTTGTCGTTGGAATTTGGTTAATCTAATTTATTAGAGAATGTGTTAAAATGTGAGATATAACCACTTTTATACAGTGGCGTGGCTATCCTGGTAAATTACATAAATATCCTTAATTCAATAGAAATGATCAACTGACTAATCAATTGAAGAATGAATGACCTATTCAACTGAAAAATCAATGGTCATTACAACAGTTACACCAATTAGTGGAAGGACTTAAATGTTCTTTAACACTCCCTTAGACGTTCACAAATTGCTCAGTTGGGTATCACATAAACTCCATATCAATGCCCCGTCTTCATCTCTCTCAAAATGAAATATATGCTCTTCAAAGGGATGATCCAGAAAAAACCTTGGTATTCCTGGGGATTTCTCCCTCTTAAAACGGCAAAATGCCTTAGGAGGACTTCGGGAACTCGTTACCTAAAGGAAGCGAGGATGTGGAATTCACGATTTGAAAATTGTAGGTGTAAGAGCAAGAATCGGAGAGAAACACTTAATAGTAAGGAGATGAAAAGGGATAGTCAATGGCCTATGGATACTTCACTCACCAATACTAGCACAAACACAACCACTCACCGCTTCAATTAACACATGTTTAACACTTAAATGGACCTTGATTTAGCTAACTAGGTACCTATTGACCGTTAAGCGTACCCTTCTCGGCTTGGACCCATCGACATTCCATTGACATTGGGCTAAGTCCAAGTGTGAGGAAGGTTGGTCTTCCACCTGTGGAAGCACAGCATTAGGGAGCATTGCCTTGCCTTATTTGAATGCCACTACACCTTATAATATCATCATTCAAAGATTGATTTCAGCCAACAACCCAAGAATAAAATCCAGAAAAAAGTGAAACCTTAAAAATGGTATTAGGATTAAACCTAAATCATGAAAAAGGATCTTGCTTCATATAAATAGTTTGCGCAACCCACTACAAGTTTGTGTACCCAACTGAACAAATGAACATGTCAAAATTTCAAATGAAATGCTCACATGCCAGGCATGTCACTAGTGTTACTAGTTCTATCAAGTAAAAGAATGCCACAATTTAAAATAACTCAAATATAAAAAAGCAAAATATTTTCTGTTTTAATGTTGTCGACGAGACCAGATAGTAGCAATTCAAGAGCCATCCATGTAAGCAGATGCACCGGCTAGTTCTTGGCAGCGGCTGCAGGCACCAAATGTTGGGGCTGTTGGCACATGAAAGAGGCATTAGTAAATATGAGAACCCATAATGGAAAATCGAAGGCTTGCCAGTAAATTTGTGTTCCGGGTTAGACTAGCTTCTTACCGCTTGTAGCTCCTCTTCATGCTTTGGAATAAAAGCAGTATCGACCTTGCCATTTTTGAAATCCTCTATATCCAGGATAAGTTTATGGTATTCAATGGTTGTGGGAACCCCTGCGGAACAAAGGCAATAACTACATCAACTGCCATGAACAACGAAAAAGGAATGTTCCAGATTTACAACATGAATTAAAGCAACCTGAAACTTCAAATAAAACATCAACAAAAAAAAAAAAAAAAAAATGCTGCCCCTTTGATTCTATTAATATCACAGCTTAAATTTAATTGGCTCACACTAAGTTTGTTCTACACAAAGTTCAATCATACTGACATAAAAAGTAACTCAAATTGACTTTATTACTATTTACCTGTTATAACAGTGTCATCAAGAGCCCTCTTCATTCTCTCAATTGCCTTTTCTCTTGTTGGTGCCCAAACAATAAGCTACACCAAGGGAGCAATAATTGCCTCAGTTACTAGAATTTGGATCAATAAACCTGAAAGCTATAATTTCATATTGCTGATGTATATGGGCCACAAACCTTTCCAAGAAGGGAATCGTAATTTGGAGGAACCACGTAATCAGGATAAACATGGCTATCCATTCTAACAAAGGGACCTCCAGATGGTAAGTAGGCTGTTATTCTTCCTGTTTAAAAAAGGCAGAAGATTATGTATTAAAAAATAGAATGAATATATAATGTCATTGTTAATCCAGTGCATGCGCAACCCGAGTTAAATCAATGGAATTCTTTAAGTGCTGAACTAACTTAGAACCCTATATCATCAGGGTTTGGCTGCATCACATAGAGCCAATACAGAATAACGAAAAATACCAAATGTAGCATAAGTGTCATGCTGTACTAAGCAATAACCAAGGACATACCTGGCCCGGGTCGGAAACCTTTAAAAGCATCTTCTGCATTGATACGGCATTCAATTGAATGTCCTCTGAGCACTATATCTTCCTGTAGATGGAACCATCTCCGTCAGACATTGAACAAAAAGCATCAGATGTGTCTTGAAAACTACACTACCGTAATTACCTGTGTGTATCGGAGTTTTTCACCCATAGCTACTCGAATTTGTTCTTCAATCAAATCAACAGAGGAAATCATTTCTGTCACAGGATGCTCAACCTGTGGTTCCATTGGCAAAAAGATTTTAGTTTGGCATAGCTAAGCAAACTTTTAATACCAGTCAAAGCAACCCTCAAAACTTAAAAATATTAGTTTAACCTGAATCCGAGTGTTCATTTCCATGAAGTAAAAGGAACCTCTTTCATCCAAAAGGAATTCAACGGTTCCAACACCAATGTAGCCAATTGATGCTGCTGCTGCAACTGCTGCATCACCCATAGCTTTCCGCAGTTCTGGGGTCAATGCAGGGGAAGGTGCTTCTTCCAGGAGCTTTTGGTTCCTTCTCTGTTAATGTTACATTCAGAACATGTAAACAATTTGGCAGGTGTCATTGAGTTTTGCATTTCTCAGAAAAGAATAGAGGATGAATGGATAATAACTAGAAGACAGCTGTATTCTAATAATAGAAATAAACTTTCACAGTGATTCATGCAACTAATAAGGCTGGTTAAAGTACCTGGATGCTGCAATCCCGCTCTCCAAAGTGAATAACATTGCCATATTTATCTGCAAGAACCTGTTTTTTACAAGGGAGAAATCAAGAGATTGCAGGTTGGCATCAAATGTCAAAATGAATACTAACAATAATCCAGAACATACGATGTATCACCATACACAATATCAGGAACTTTTACAAGCACATTACCTGAAACTCAATGTGTCTAGGATTTTGGATGTACTTTTCCAAATAAACTCCATCATTTCCAAAAGCAGCTGCAGCCTCACTCTTTGCTTGCTGCAAACAATCAAATTGAGGCAGAGAAATATGAAGACGGAAGCAGCAATATATTACAAAAATTTAATATTCATTTAAAGATAACAAGACCAACTAAACTAAGAACCCAACCATACAATTTATAGTGATAACTTTATTTAACACAAAACAATATCTCTGAAGATGAACGAAGAAACACTTTTAGAGAAGATCAACAAAAAAAAGAAGGAATCAGCAAAGTAACAAAATAAGAAGACAAGGCATTAGGTGCAGTACCTGTAACAACTTCACAAACTCCTCAGGTTCTTTAGCAAGACGCATACCACGTCCTCCACCTCCTGCTGTGGCCTTAAATAGCAAAACATGCTTATCATTTAACAGAAACAATAACAGACAAATTCTATATTGGCTCTCCTTAACCCAGAGTTTGAAAGAAAATATTAATGAAACACCAGAATACTAAATAGCCATTCCTGTCATGAAACTTTATTTTTAGTTCATTCAAGTCTTACATCTGATTCATTAGAGTTTAAATATAGCACACTAGTAACTGAGATCATTTAGATTTATTTTTACCAAATGATGAAACGGCCTCATCCAAAGATTGGAGGTAACAGTTACAACTCACTATAGTTACTAGGAACTAAGCAACAAACTTAAATTTCTGAAAGAAACTCCATGCTTGACTCAAACTCAAAACTAAAACCTGCAAAACTTTTCTTCTAGCTTCATTGAGTTGGTACATCTTCATAGCTTAGCATTATAAAAAGGAAATTGGGTAGTGTCAAACAGATACAATTCGTGAGCAGCTATTATATGTAATAGGCATGTGTTCCTCTCAATTAACTTCAGTTTACAATTGAAAAGAAGTTAAAGAAATAATTCTACTATATTAAATCATTAGTTTCCTTTTTATAGAACGGGAAAAGAAACTTGGTAAATTAGGAATATGTTTAACTTTTGAACTTTCACAGTTAACATTAAAAGGTGAGCACTTTAAATTCTATGACACGGCAAGGTACAATGAGTTTTAATTATCATAAAACATAATAGGACAAGATACTTTACTTTGATCATAACAGGAAAACCAATCTCATCCGCAAGCCTGATTCCTTCCTCTGTGCTCTGTGAAGGAAAAATGATTACAATTAACGTAAAATCAATTATATGAGACCCTATTCCTGGAGGTGTTGAAACTTATAATACCTAAGGTTAAAGTAGATACCTGTAGTAATCCATCACTTCCTGGTACAGTTGGAACACCTGCTTTCTTCATTGTGTCTCTGGCAGTCGATTTATCACCCATAACACGGATGCTTTCGGGCTGCAAATTGTAATCAGATTTTCAAACTTTGTCCCCCATGAGAAGATGAACTAACTAATAAGCAACTAAATATAACCAAATGCTTCTATACACCTAAATGGATCAATTACTGTTCACTCTAAGATGTTGGGAACAAGTGAAATACATTGTATAAAACTGAATAAAATACAACTCAAGGAAAAAAAAAATCATTTTTGTCTAAGGGAAAAAATAATTTTTTTTGAAGTTGAAAAATCTTCATTAATAACCAAAAAACTATCTAATACATCAATCTAATATATCACATGAACTTATCACAGAAATGTTCTCTTGGTCACTCACCCTTGGAATTGATATCAAGGGTTGAGATTAAAACATTAAAAGCACGTCCATTTATTCTCCACCCTTGATATCAAATCCAATGGTATGTGGCCATGAATCCTTAGCCACCATGTTAGCAAGAGAACAGGACTCTAGCTTATCATGTTCACATGGCACGAACCCAGAACTTCACAATGGGTGAGCTGAGCCTTGGAACTAAATAAGATAATGAGAGGAGGAAAAAGAGAGAGGGCTGAAATGAGAGGTAAAAAGAAAAAGAAATTCCCTTGAAATGGGATGGGGCTATCACACACCGAAGCCACCATCTTTGTCTGCACCTAATTTAAATCTAAAAATTAGAAATAAGAGAACAGTTCCTAGCTTGAAGTGTTTAAAGTTATATTTTATTTTACTTGAAGTACTGACCTTAGGCCCAATAAAATTGATTCCATGTTCTTTGCACATTTCAACAAATGACGCATTCTCAGAAAGGAAACCATATCCTGGATGCAACATTGTACATTTCCTACTGATGGCAGCAGATAAAACGTTTGGAACAACTAAGTACCTGCAGAAAGATATATCAAAATGGCCAAGTTTAATCATTATCATCTGTAACAGAAACTGGGTCATAAAATTATTATGTTCTTAAGATAAAGAATGTGTTCACAGGAAAGTAGTAAAACAGGGCAGGCCAGCTTGAGCACGGCACAATTCAAATGAGCATGGAGGGGCTAGGTCACATCCTTTGTCATGCCATGCTAACCAAAAGGCATAAGGCATTTAAAACCATTGGTTTATTACAACTACAATCTTTGTTAGCAGTTTCTTTATATCACATCCTTATAAACAATGATTATCTATCAATGATGTTATTATGTATTTACTTTCATCCTCGACTTCTTTCCGGCATAAGGACTCCTTTGTGAAAGTTATGATAGGGGGGAGAAGGACAAAGAACAGCGTAAAAAAGAAATTAAACTGATCAGCCACTTACGATTGACTGCTTGCTGCTTCACCAATGCAAACTGATTCATCAGCCAATTTCACATGAAGTGCATCCTTGTCTATTGTTGAGTAAACAGCCACACAAGGTATTCCCATCTCATGGGCTGTTCGAATAACGCGGACAGCAATTTCCCCTCTATTTGCCACCAGAATTTTTTCAGCACGACATGTAGCATGAAGAGCTCCCCCATGCCTCCTGGATTTAATACTAACTTGAGCACCCGGAGCTCTCTGCCTTAAAAAGTTGACTTTATTTCCCACCATAAAGCTACATTGGGAGCTCCGGATCTCTCTAGTTCTCCCAAAAAATAAGCCCTTCTGTTGACAGAAGAAAACGAAAAACAAATGTAAAGAAAATTGCAAATAAACCACAAAGCATGTCTGAAGATCATAACAGAAGCAATAACGAACAGGATTCTGAAGAACATATAACAATCACAACTCATTTGTTTTGCAACGCTATTTATCTAGGAATTCCAATATGTTACTTTCCCCTAATGAGTTATAATCGTTCTATTATCTTCGGTTTTGATGCATTGGATAAGCAAGGTAAAGTTTTGAGCTTCTCCACAGCACTGGAAGGTACTTATCTACGAAGCCACATTCTTCGGTCTATATAGTTATAAAAAGAGACCCAATGAAGTACCTAAGAAATTAAACCAAACCTCAAACTAACTAACATGCATTTGAAAAGTCGATCCATTTCAATATATATATATATATATATATATATATATATATAGCTTGAACAATTCACTATCACACCGATCATATCCAAACTAAGATCAATTGATTAACCACTCCAATTAAAATTAATCAGAACACCACGCAACATTTGAAACCCAAACCCAATTCAAAAAACGAAATAAGCATTGGGCAACAGAGGTACTTACCGGAGTTGGCGTGACAGTCTTGCAGATGGGCATTATGGCATCCATTTTCAAAACAAAGCGATATGTGTTACACCAAATATCCCAGTCACTGCCATTGCAGAAGAACAACAGAAAAACAGCATAATTTGTTAGAAATTGTAACACTCTCATTCCACAAAATCGAGAAGAAGCTAAGCAGGAATCAACCATTCACATGATTCTAATTCTATCGTAGAATGAAATCACAACCCAAAAAAGGGGCAGTTGCTGCCATTGCGAAACGATTCAAATGCTAAAATTTGACACTGAAACAGGGAAATACCTTTCTCAATTGGCTCAGATCAAGCTCAGATTGGATGAAGAACAAGAAAAGGAAGCCTCTTTGGTACCCAAGAGGTCTAGAGAGAGAGAGAGAGAGAGAGAGAAATGCGAAGTGGGAAGGTGGGAAGGTGGGAAGGACCGAGGGTAGATATAAAGAGAGTAGAGTTGTCGATGAAAACGAGGGGAGTGAGTGATTGAAATTTGAAATCTCCGCCTACAAGGAAATGGGAAAACCACCGCCAGCCCTGGAAGCCGCCGCCCTCCCCCATCCCCGGCGGCCCTCCACTCCTCTCTATCCATATTCCCCAAAACAGAGAAATAAAACGAAAAGCAAAACATTAAATTGAATTCACAGACTGACCTGCAATGGTTTTAGGTTACTGTTGCTGTTGACCGTGCCAATGAAGAAGGAGTGGGGCGAGCTGGGAGATGATGAGAGGAAGAGGAGTGAAGGACGGCTGACGGTGAAGAGCTAGTTGGACTGCACGGCTACTACGCCGCCACTGCCGCTTAGTTTTCATCCACGGTGGCGGTGTTACGATGCCATGAATGTCTACGTATCACTAACACGTGGATTAGTAAGACACTTTACACGTGGTACGATTTAAATGAACACCGTATAATGGCTACGTATGAGTGTACGTCGTATTGACAACATAATTTTTTGGGCTTATTAATGGCTATAGCACTTATTGGCTTGTTTGAAAATGCTTTTAAAATAACTAAAAGCTTTTTAAGAGAAAATAATTTTGGTTTCAAAAGTACTTAAAGAAGCACTAGTTATGTGCTTCTTGCATGAAGTAATAAAGTTGACACGTCTCGACCCTGATATTCCCTGAATATCCAGATAGGCACGTTCTGGCCGACACCTGAGGGTGACGAAAGCCATTTATTGAATACAAGATAAATTATTAGGAGGAAAATAAGCATGAATAATCATTAGAATCTAGAAGTAATAAACAAGGTTTAAAAAAATGTCTAGTGTGCACAAAACACGTTCTAAAACAAGATCACAAAATGAAAGATCATTACAAGATATCACGCAAGTGAGTGATAGATTGCTATTGGTAGGGGAATGCCTCGTACGTTGTGTCGTAATCCTCATTTCTAAGACCTGAATGAGGGCGCAAAACAAAGGTGAGTGGACCAAGTTCATATATACAATAATAATAAAACAGTTATCAAGATACTAACCCCCACAGTTTATATAAAGAAAACTACTAGCATAATAAGCGATGTTTTTACTAAAAACCCTAGCATGCCAAAAATATCTCAAAAGTCATCATGGAAAATAAAATACCAAACGTCTCACAGATTGTCTCGTCGCGTAATGTACTACTAGTAAAATCACTGAAATAAATATATCTCCCGGCCTTATACCAGCACCGTGGTCTCTGCGCCCATAGCCAAAGATTACCAACTCCCGGCCCAATGCCTGCTCCATGTCCCTCAGCCCGTAGCTAGGGATTATTTCTCCCGGCCTATCTGCCAACACCAGATCCTCGCCCCAGGCGGCATAGTGTCCACTAGGTACGCACAAATAGTTACACCTCTAAAAAATAACCACTTTATAGTATAAAGTTATCCATCGTCTATACTATAAATAGGGGTTTCTAAAACATGTTCTAGCATCCTATCGTCATCCATCATCTAGTCTACCAGTTCATGGTTTTTAAAGAAAATACGATATTTTAAAATATAGCTTAATATAGGCCAACAATTAATTCCTCACAAAAAACAAGATGATAAATAACATATTTCATAAACATGCTTAACATAAAAATCAGTTCATAAACTCGTAAGGCATGCATTTCATTTATGCAATTAAACTATGAAATTATGCAAATTTTAGAAAGGGTCCACTCACAGATACTCCGTAGCAGCAGAATTGTGCGGAAAATGATTAAGGAAATCCCCACTAGCAACTTCACCTAAGCACAAAAATGTACAATTTATTAAACTACCCAACTACAGAATTTCAAGAATTGGAAATGGGTCTTGGGTTTGGATCCGGATTAGGGTTTAGGTTATATAAGGTTAGAACTTATTGGGTTTTGGTTTTGGATAGGCCTAGGAATAAAAAGGGTGGTGGTTTGGGCTTGAGCCCAAACCCACACAACACAACACACACACATGCCAACACACACATACACATGCATGCACAGCACGCATGCACACACCTGCACACACATACATACACACACACACATGTGCACCACACACACGTGCACCACACATATTCAAACAACTTACACACACACACACACACATGCACGGACACACACACACAACCCACACACGCATAGACACACATACACAACACACACACGCACAGCCCAACACACACACCTCACACACCCACGGCCCTACACATCCACACATATTCACTAAGCCCAAAACAAGGTACGGCCCACAGGCCAACTAACCAAAAGGGAATAGGGCTGGTTCAAGTAAGGGTTAAGGCCCGTGGGTGATTTGAGAAAGCCTGGTGGCTTCGGTGTTGTCAGGGAAGAACACCGGAGCTGTTATAGCTCCGGTCGATGGCAAACGTGAAATCAAACATTCAAACCAGGTACCAAATTGAAGAGGGAAGATAGCTGAAAAGATGGGAACGAAAATATACCACTGTGAGTCTCGACTATGGTCGAGAATGGCGAGGTTGATTCACGGAATTCGTCGGGTTCTAGAAAACAAAAATATAATGCATGCACAGATTAAAACCTTCCATTTATATTGAGAACAACTCAACAAAACAGAGTAGAGCACTCGCCTGAGTTCGAGTTTCAGAGATTTGAAGCTATCGGCTTCAATGGTAGAACACACAGAGGTGTTCTACTGACGCATGCAGGGTTATAGTTGTGTTTCTCAAGCCCCAAGGATTCTAGATATGTGGTTAATTTGTTGGATTTGATTAGTTTTTGAAGAGGAAGAAAACAAGATCTCTCGAAGCTCTAGAGTGAGTGAGGGTTCCCGTGAGAGAAAGAGAGGTTTAAGAAGGAATGCTCAGGAAGAGAGGGAAGAGAAGGGAGTTAGAGAGCTGCCACATGGCAGTTTAGGATAAAAGGGAATCTAGATCAATGACTAGGATTAAAAGCGATAAGGGATTAAATTGATAGATTTAAAATATGTTCCAGGGGAAAAATAGAAATAAAATAAAAATGTGGGGATGGGTGTAACAAAAGTGGTTTTTTATGGTTACTTGCATTTTTCTTTTTATTAAGGATTGGTTTCAAAAGTATTTTCACTAAAAGAGTTTTCAGCTATTTTAAAAGCACTTCTAAACAAGCTCATATTCTTTACTAAATTTTACTTTCTCTACACTTTATATTATCTTATTTTACCAATCTCACTCTTCTTTCTTGTCTTACTTTACTCCATGCATTTTATATTATCACACTTTATCACATACACTCTTCTTCCTTTGCAAAGATTCTTAGGATTCTATCATGAGAATCTCTATTTTCTCTTCTTTATTATTGTAATATGGAGAAATCAAACCTTGTTTTGAGTTTAACCAACTTTTGATTACACAGTTGAAATGACTAAATTGTCCATGTCACATCAACACAATTAATAGCTCTTATTTGACGGAGTAGGGTACAGTGGGACTTTCAGGAAGAGTGCCAGTGTTAAAATGAGATAATAAAGAGTGTAGGGGATAAAGTGGAACACAAAGGAAGAATGCATGTGGTAAAGCGAGACAATATAAATGAAATTTGATGAAGAGTATATAGGTGTCATAGCTAAAAATAAGCCAATTTATTATATACAAACCTGACACTAGATATTATGTTCATAATTGAAACATAAGACATTTTGACTTAAACAATAATTTAATGAAAAACAGTTTAAAATCAAGAATAGTTTTGACTGTAAGATAAGGGACATGATCCTCTCTGGATCCTGTATGTGTGGACCCTCGAGATCAATCGATCATGATGGTTCACCATAGATCAACGGTTACGATCCCACCCAGGTTACTCACTATCTACTCCATCCTCTACTCATGTCACCATGACATCGTCACCCATATCCATGATGACCTCTTCCTCCTAGAGCAAAGAAGTCATCATAATAGAACCTTAAGAAGGAAACTCGAATCGACGAGAGAATAGGCTACCCTCTTGAGGCCACCCCTAATTGGATTTGAACCTCCTCATGATTACGATAGAAAGATCGAGTATAACCACATCCATAAATCCTAAATTGTAATCATGACAATTGGATTTTAATTGTCAACGGAATCTCAAATTTGCTCTAAGAACTAAGTAAATATTTCTTACTCAATTTGCCCCCCCAAGTCTGAACACATATTACCAAGAACGACTTAACAAAAGTTGTCACGCCCCGATCCCAACATACATCCAGGATCGACGCATGACGGTAGACTGTAGGGGGATGCCAAGAAATACAAATTGAAATACTGAACTAACAACAACGATAATCACAACTGTTTAAGGAAAGGTATAGGGGTAACCTAACACTCCAAATTCTATGAACTCTGTCTGCTACCCCAAAGCTCCTCGTATCTACTAAAACCTGCACAATCGCCCCTACACCATGGGAATGGTGCACGGGGCAAACAATTACCCAGATAAGCCACGAAGTTCGTGTGAGTGACAATAATTCAACGTATGTGATAATAATATTAAAAACCAACCATCGATTCGGTTTATCAAAGTCAAATATAAAATCATATTTTATGAAACCATTATCAAGTCACTGAAAATCCCGAATGAGTCACCTAGACATCCAACGGCTCGTCTAAAACAGATCACAAAAGCTCACAACCATAAACTCATACAACACAATGAAAAGTAAGGCTAGAGCGACACAGTTCAGTCGAATCCTACATCTCTGAAGCTATCTCAATCTAAATTCAATCTGAAGAATCAACAAAGCAATTAATCGGGTTTTGGACCTCTCAACGGAACCATAATACCAAATGGGATTCCGAACCACTCAACGGAATTCAACCAGGATACGATTCTGGACCACTCAATGGAATTGCGGAGTAGAAGGGATTCCGAACCTCTTAACAGAATCCAAGTGGATACGATTCTGGACCTCTCAACAAAATCGTGGAGTACAATGGACATCAGACCACTCAATGAAACCCAAGCTAGATACGATTCCGGACCATTCAACGGAATCGCGAAGCACGAGAGATTCCGGATGACTCAACAGAATCCAGACGAAGCAGTGAACCAGACCACTCAA